ACACAAATATTTACACGAAAACAATCTTTATTTATGAGACATTAAAATTCTTTGTGGGAAGAAATCATGAGTTCTATGTACAAAACACGAAACCCACCTCCTCCACTTAACTTGTAAAGGCATGGCAAGAGTTAGTGCACACCTCTGCTTTGTTCCGCCAATGAAACAGGCAAATGTTCTATGTTGCCGCTTGTTTTCCCAAGAAACCACAGGACAAGGGGTCAGTTATGCCACAAGGTAATCGGTAGATGGGGTAAAGAAGGCCCTCGGGCAACATTCCTAGATTTAGTTAACTGGCACAGATGATGATGCCTGAAGGATGTTGAGAATTTCCTCCCATTCAGTTGTACATCTGCCATTGCATCTCCACAACGCTCTGACGAGGACTAGTCTGGTGGCAGATCTCCCGTTCTTCTCCTTCCACTTGGCAAGCATGTATAAGATCTGCTTATAAAGTGAGAAAGGGTGTGCAGCTTTGATTTGCTCTATTATAATGACAGAATGTCCAAGTTCTGCTCCGAGGACCTCAAACCCAAAACCGATATGTCTTGCCACAAGATTGAGATCTGATCTTGAAACAGGAATCTTTAGTGTTTCCTCGTCAACATCGTATGGCAAGTTGCGGTGTGATGAACCTAGGAATACATGTTTTTATTAATATGGGATTAACATTAAATGGAATCTTGCATGATCAAATGATTTGAAAAATGCTACATGAGCAGTAACCTCATTTTGAGTATCTTTCGGAACGGCTACAGTGTAGCTTGCATGAAATGTGATATTACCAACGCAGTGCTTCATCTAACAAGTCGAACCAGAAATATATTATTTATAACGAACCTTGTCTGTGTCTCTCTTGAATGTGGTTAACCTGGTCAGTGTCTATTCTCTGTAATGGAAATGTTAACAGTATTCTAACTGTAAATATGGAATACTAGATGTACAAAATGTACGTATAGATTGTTCAGTATAAGTGAGTAGGGTTAAAAGGGTTCATGTTATAGTAGTGAGTTTGTATTGGTTAACGGTATTACATTTATATCAAGACGTGGGGCCCAGTCGTCTGAGGTGCCGCAATTCGCTGTGCAGAGTTGCGTCCATTGGTGCCTATATGTTTCTAGGTTTTGTCAGCGCCATACCCGTGCTCTGGGTAAACGTTTGAGACCTGCATCACTTCGGGATTTCCTCCCACACTAAGTCGACACTCCGTGATATAACTGGATTACTGTCCAAAGTGGTGTCAAAACAATTCACGCACTTAAATTGAGCCTTTATCAATACGTGTCAACTTGGTGAGGGAGGTAAGCCTGAAGTTATTACTAATATGCACACGAGCACAACACCCAATTCAAATTTTGCTATAGTGGAATAGACCTAATAAAGCTTTGATTATGTAAATATTACGCTGTACCTCAAATCAGTAACAGGTTAAGGAAGCAATGGTTATTTAAGAATGTCTTAGACCTACCTGATACCGACATCCAGGCCAACATCGAAGAGTATTTCCTATTTTAAATGTATACACTGTTACTGTATCTACTCCTGATATGGAAACTGTTGATCACTTATAAAGCTGGAAATCTGGAATGACACAGACTGTGCACTAGCGTACTACTTATAGCGGTTAGAAGGGGATTCCCCTTCGAAGGTGAATATCGCTTTGGACGGGAAATAGCGGATTTCGGATCCCGGATACAAGTGTATGATCTTTGATTTGAGGTGAGGGGAGTGAATTGCATGTGTAGTGATGGTATAAAAAAGCGTTGGATATTGAATGTAATTGTGTTTCATTAAATTGTCTACTACGCGATTTCATGTTTGCATGAATCATTAGTACGGTTCCTGTCACACGTGCAATCAATTCAGTTACTTGTTTAGTTGCTTATCTTAATGATCGGCTGTAGATTAAGCTTTTCTCGAGCCAATACCTGTCTTTGGTACTTAATATGAGTAAGTACTATCACACATATCATCCTGTCCTGAAATGTTGAAATTTAAGACCTGCATAATTAATCAACAACAACAAAAATCATTTCAGTTACGCAGCTGTAAGCTGTTATAAATTTGACATGTATATTTTTCAACTGCAATTTCATCATTGTCCACGCCATCATAAAGCATAATAAACTACATTTTATAATATATTGGATATAACTAGATTGTCACATTTAAGGCTATGATATATTATTTCTTCATATAATACATTTGTTGGTGATATCTATCTTCCTATGCTTCTTTTTTTGCAATATTTGCAAACATCACCTGTCGTCGAAGGATTTTGTTAACATCTTTAAAAAAAGTAAACATATAAATCTATTTTGTTTTGGTTAGAAAATATCCTATTGTATAAAAATCAAAACGAGTTGCACTTTATTTTGCCTTTTTACCACAGTGCCTGTGACTAATTTCCTCCATTTGAACTGCTCATACAAACAAAATACTCACATGCAAAGACATACTTCAATAGTCAATAATTATCAATAACTTACACATAACCATGAAAATAAGGAAGTATTCATAAGCGAACTGTAAATTGTATTCCGGGTTTGTTCCGGGTTTGTTCCGGATATCATAGGCATTAAATCCATGAAAATAATTAAACGTTTTACATAAACATGTCTATCTGTATTACAGGGGTTCATGAATCTGAAGCTATAGTCCGTTGCCTGACGTCAAATGTTTCCTTGTTTATTCAAACCGTTCTGCTTTGGGATATGATGACATGGATGTGTATAATGTATACTGTGAACAGGGCGTTACAGCAGAGCGGTATTCATTGATTGTACCCGTATTACAGGCAGCCAATCGTCATGTCGTATATCAAGTGCCACGTCACTACAGTCCTAGTTTCTCTTTCCTTATGCGTTGTACAAAAGGATGCGCGGACATAGTCATACAGCAGACATTGAGTAGACAGAGCTATGGATAGGGAGGACAGAGCGGTGGCAGCTCCGTACTTCACGAGGAAGAACAAGGCACTGAAGCTCACTGAAGTGTTGGAGATACTGGAGAACCCTGATGACACACGGGCTATAGTAACACCCCCTGCTAAACCCCATGGAGGAGACGGGTACTTGTACAGGGTGGAGGCAGACTCGGCGGAAGGTAGGTTAAAGAGTGCATGTCTTGAAGTTTAAACATAAATAAAAATGCATAATCTGATGAGTATTAATAAAGGGAGCATTAATAATGAAATAGGTATTAATGAAACACTAAATGTTATTATTTGTATTATTTATTGTAATGTGACATGTTGTGGGTTGTGGTGTGATGGGGTCGTATGGATGGGTATTGGGAGCAAGTAGCAGGTGTCAAATAGTCAAAGGAGCCACAGACCAGTGAAGATCCGGAGAAGAATTTATAGGTCTTCAGCAACCCCTGTTTGCCGTAAAAGGCGACAACACTTGTAGTAAGAGGCGACTAACGGGATCGGGTGGTCAGGCTCACTAACTTGGTTGATGCATGTCGTCGATCCCAATTGCGTGTATCGATGCTCATGATATCAATCACCGGATTGTCTGGTCAAGACTCGATTATTTACAGACCGCCGTCATACAGCTGGTCTATTACTTGGTGCGGCGTTAAACAAAAAACAAGCAACCAAAAAACAAAAAAACCCGGAGCGGCAATTGGAAGGAGAGTAGTCATTGTTTCTAAAATAGTCGTGGGTTCGAATCTCAGATTTGTCCTTTTTGTGATTCTAGGCTTGTAAACGTCGATGACCTATGAAGACCTACGCCATTTTACGCCACCACTCCACTTTACCAAATGTTACTTTACTCATGCTTTAGCCTTCACAATGTAGAGATGACCTACTAGACTCACTGATCCCAATGAAAAATACAAATATAGTTGACTAAACGTTCACATACTAGAATGCTGTGATCGCGATCGTGATATCAGTTAAATTTACACACACGTAAGGTTTAAATATAACCCGCTATTGACACAGTCAACACGTACATAGGGAATGACAGCTCATCGATCGCGCTTCGTGGCCATGAGCCGGATCTTGCAAGGGAATATACGTACTCGTGTTACCTGTAATGAAAAAAACGTTCCCGACTGCAACTCGTAAATAGCACCCCGATCTGAGGCCATGCAACGCACTACCAAGCTCTTTGTATTGATTCAGGTTGCAGATCAATGCACGTAGCTACGCAGTGATAATGAAAACATTGTACGCTGAATAGCATTGGCAGTTTCTCTTTCGCGACGCTACTTTTGATGCAGAAAAACAAAACAAGTCAAGAATTGCACTAAAAGAACATACGAGGAAGTTGATTGTCAATGTGTTGATTTTTTGGGCCGAAAGCTATGTAAATATTCACTAAGAAAGTTTGATTGCATGTGCGGTACTGATCAGGTAGCAGTTGTACTGTAAATCCCTTGTACATAATATTGTGGCAACATTATTTAACATTTTGTGATATTTGTTACATTGTCTCATATTTACAAGTTTCAATTTATTCATCAATTAGAACGTGTTCTTGTCATCTTTGGTCTGAAGAAAGCCACCTTGAATTTAAATGTAAACTCACAATTTTTGTCGACTTAGAACCGTTTAAATTTGGATTGAGACTGTTTGCCGTGAACAACGTTACATCCAGATTCGTCATTAGTAGACACTGTCTATATCCTTCCCATTGTGTCCTTAATAATATTTCGTTATTGATAATTCTGTTGATGGTGGACATGGATGAAGGCTTGATTCTGTGTTTATATTAAATTATGTTCATTGCAGCAGATACCAACTATAAACCAGGAAACATTGAATCAACTAACGCGAATTTTAGGGGGAAAACATGATCGAATCTGTATGTATATTATATGAATTATTTTTATTGCAGCAGATCCCAAATATATAACCCAAATATATATCCCAAATAAATAACCGAAACTAACACCTAACCGACCGAAATGACGTCTTTTAATCATTAAGTTAAGTTATTATTGCTCTACAGATTCCTGGGAAAATGACAACTGCTACTTCAAGCACAATGGTTCTCGTGAACAGCCTAAACCTGCACCCAAGGTTCTCAAGCAGGACTTCGTGGCTTATAAAAGTGATGGCACCACCACCGAGGCTTTTAAACGACTTGCTCGAGGGAGACGTGAAATATATATTAGTACACTACATTGGGAAATGCACAGTAGCATTATCCGATCCAAAATATGAGAAGCGTTTGGATACATCCCTCCACCATGAATCCCAGATAGTGAACAGTTACGCGAGAATAGCTGGTTCTGGAGATGAAGATGGTGGAGATTCGGAGACCAGGGATATGGAATGTGATCATGATCGTGCAAATACTAACTCTCCTACTTTCCTGGCCTCCTTAGATGAAGTTAGCTCAAGGAAAAGGACACATGACCCTGATATGGTAAATCGTGTGAAAACTCCTAAACGTTCAGAAAACGAACGAGTAATTGAAAACAATTTGATAGACATCATAACCACCGAAAGTGTTAGTCATCAACATGATGAAAGACCGACCAACTTCAGGTCACTCACCGAATATTTGCTGAACAAACGTACTCATATCTTTATCGCAAGACGTGTGTTGAACCAGACAAAATACTGGGAGAAAAGCACCAGATTTCCTACCTTTGACAGTCCATGTTTATCATTAATCGCTGACATCGACTGTAAATGGAGAAATGACCTCACAGAAGTCAGTGGCAGGTTGAAGTGGTCACGACTTAACCCGGATGTTCTCGGCGAAGACCAGTGCAAGGAGACGTATGACAGACTGGTATCTGCTGTCATAGTAGGTGCATATCACATGAAGACGGACATCACAGAGTTTGTTGACACCCTCTATATGTATCCACCGCATGTGATGGGTGACAAAGCCGTGACAGATGACGACGATGGGACGGATCCTCAGATGTGCAAGGTGGGGCCCCACAACATACAGAGGAATCATCTCCTCGATCAAACAGCATGGCTTGGCGATGAGGTAATTTTTACGATTTCGTAGCTTATATTTTGCTCTTTATGTATTATATAATTTTAATCCTTTCTAAAAGTTTAACATTACTTGGACAAATCAAAGGTGTAAAAATCGACCAGGACCATCTTCCTTCTCGGTCGTGGTCGGTCAAATGTCAAATAATGATATCAGGAATAACATTATTAAAGATGAAAATTGTACAATATTGATAGATGATAAAAACATTTGTTCCAATAGTTAAAATTGCTCATAGACCAAGTAACATTAACTCGCTTAATCGTTATTTGAGCAGTTCAGACAGGATATATGTTGCCATAATGTTTTTCTAAATTGCTGGTTGTAACACGTGACGAAGGGGTTTTGTATACAGTAAACTACGGTTATAACGAACTCAAAGGGACTGCTAATTTTAGTTCGTTATAACTGTAGTTCGTTATAAGCATTATACAGCATAACTACAGCAAATAGTCGGGACCAAAAAAAGTTCGTTATATCCGTCAGTTCGTTATAAGCGTGTTCGTTATAACCGTAGTTTAACCTCCATTGCAGGTGATGAATGCATACATGCATGTCCTGAAGACCATGTGGAATAGGATCCACAGCCGTCACTGCGCTGTACTTGATTCCTTCCTTGTCAACCATTGGGAGAAAGACGAGTATGACGTGCACCCCTTCAAGGTATGGACGAGCATAGTCATGTACATTGTATAAAGGGATGAGTAAAGTACTGGTATAAGGTTTTCGTCCAAAGATGGAAATTAAAGAGACATTTGAAGATCTTCGATTCGGTTATGGATCCTTGTTTAGCATCTACTTTAGGCTCAAAGAGATATGAGGTCAGTTTTGTAGACAGTTCATCGAAGGTCTAGAGCAGCAGTTTTCCTTTTTCAAGAATATCCTCACTGGACATATGTCAACATGCTATGTACAGTAAACTACGGTTGTAACGAGGTTTAATGACCGCTTTGAAAAGTGTTCCAATTATTTCACAGTGTGTCAGATTAATGAGGGAGGAAAGCAAGAAGTGATGCAGGTCTCAGACATTTACCACTTTGGTTATTGAGTTTGAAATGTTCAATATTATAGCCATTTCAACATAAATACCATGCGCGTTTATCCAAATCAGAGGAAAGTAATCGTATGGATATGCTAATATCAGTAAACTTGGTCAAATGGAAAAGAACTTATTGTTAATTATAATATAGTAGTCTGTAGATAGACATACGCCTATGTGTTTAAAGAGCATCAAATGAATCTTGCTTGATCAGGGTAAAACATTCAAGACAATATTATTTTCCTTTTCACCAAAACCTTTACTGTAAATTAAAGCGACATAACCCTTTGAACATTCTAGCTTGTCCCCATCTCAGTGGAGCTCCTTTTTTAAATATAAATGCATGTGCTTCTTTCCTGTTTTGGAGACTAGGCATTAGTCTAAAAAACATTAAAATGTTTTGCATCAGTGACAAACCCGATGCAATTCCATGTTTTGACTTGTACAATAATTATGTCCCGGTGTTTCTCGGGCGACCGGTTGACTTGTCTTTGCATGTGTTTGTGACGGGTGCCACCGGTGGACAGAATACGGTCACCTTTTTGCGAACTGGTATTTTCACTATTTGCTAGTGATTTATTAGCACATGCTCGTGATATAGTCGGTATCATTCAAGGTGTTTGTTTTAATTATGGCAATGATTTTGCGGATTTATTGTATATTAGGAGGAACTTGGAACTTACACGTGGATCCTGATGCCAGTGAACATGCCACTGAATCAACACTGGGTGCTTCTGGTCGCCAATGCCCAGGATGGAACAGTCGGCGTGGTCAACTCTAAGCCTGTCCTTGATGTAGGGGACAAACTTATACAACATTGGAGGTAATTTGAGGGCGTGGCCAGCTATATGTAGATATAAACCTTTATCATCCAAAACTGATATCACTTGGGTGAGATCAAGTGATATATATATACTGTAGAAATTGCTGCAACATTAGTGCATCACACTGTTTTGCATCCATAGTGACGTCATTGTTACCGTGACGTCACATCACTAATTACTGCTACTGAAGCTGTTAGCAATACTTTTTACACTTAAGACACTGCTTATAACTGCTCCAAACTGAAACTGCTGGCAGAATGATGTTGGGTGATAAATTTAATCTCACCCTTGTGTCTTTTGATGTCAAATATATCAACACTCGTTGATATGTTTTACTCTAAAAGACACTCGGGTGAGATTCTCTATGAACAACACTGTAGGTGGGTTGGCCGAACAGGTGATGTGGTCAACTCCCAGCCTACAATTGATGAAGACTACTGCGCTGACCAGAGCTGAGGTACACACTGATGAAAGTCTGCTACCGATTTTGTAACAAAAGCTGCAATCTGGCTCAGCTACAAACATGTATAGTTAATCAGTCCTAAATGTATAGCGCTAGGTTGTAGGTGGGTTTGAGGCAGCGGAAACAAATAGATTTCGTTAACTAAATCCTATATCTATTTCAGAAAATATACTCGCAGTTTGAGGAGAGGTGATGGGTCAGTGGTCACATGGACAAAGACAGAATATCCAGTACTGAGTCAAAGAGATGGACATAGCTGTGGCGTGTTTGTGAATATGGTACGTAAACTAGATGAGAACAAGATATATAATTCTCTTTCATAATTGCATAATATCAATAATAAGAGCAATACACAACCAAATATGATGAATCGTTACTATTCAATATACAGTCTGAATTTCTCCACATTTACTCTTTTTTCACTAAATTTTCTGAAATTCCACCCAGCATTGGAACTATATTACAATTGTCAATCGCATGAGCATGCTTGGGTACTTGCCATTCAAATGTGTCATTATCAAAACTGAATATTTCTAGTAGTATCTTAATCAGTATTAATATACTGATCAGTTTCTACGATATGTGTTTACTTAAATTTCCATAGTTCTAACAAGTTTTGGGATACAGTACGTTTGTATTAAAAACAAAAGCAAAATGACAATGTGGGCTTTTATTTTTAAATATAATATATTTCCATGTGTACAATGTATTCTGGCACTCTAAATCGAGATTGGACTTTTTTGCGTTCATATTCAACGGGGTCATGCTGTTGGAAAAAGGCTCTGAGTGAGTGAGTGAGCGAGGTTGGTTTCACGCCACCTTTAGCAATGTTCCAGCAATAGCGCGGCAGGGGACCCCAGAAATGGGCTTCAAACATTGTACCCGGGAATTGAACCCGGATCTTCGGCGTGATGAGTGAAAGCTTTGACCACTGGGCTACCCCACCCCACTGACCTGATATGAGACCGTATACCGTCAGTAACAGCCATATTGGATTTTCATACACCCACTTCACATATTTCACAAGAATATTCTGGTACAGAAATCCGTTATTTGACACGGTTTTGTGTATTAATAAAATTAATTGTGATGTGCAGAGACATCAATTCTTAGAACTACTTTCGTGACTTTATTACTAAAATTATAGAGGAAAAAGGCTCACAACAGAGGTCACTGATTTACGAATACACACTGATTTACAAATACCAACGTCATTGAACATAATAAAAGATGACGTCACGAACAAAAAACGCGACGCCAATGACGTCACATAGCAATAGACCAGATAGAAGTCCATTGTTAGGGATAAGCGGACTGCTATCAAGTTACAGTTGACAGCAGACTCCTGTTAACACAGGTCAGTTTTATTATAATTCTATCTTGTTTATCATTATTTATTCCATTGTTAACGTTTGTGATTACATTAGAGGGTTGTATCGGAAACACGCCTTGCCCAATATATTTCTCCTTACCTAATATGACACCGTATACTGCCACTATAGACACCTTAGGGGTCAAACACTGAAGAACAGTGCTTTATTTTTTTGTCAATTATTCGTCACCAGTGGCTCTATATTGTTACAGGCAGCAGAAGCTGTACTGTCGGAGGTGCCTCCCAGTGTCATGAGAAGCTGCCACACTGTCTGGTACAGGAAGTACATCTGGCGCAGGTTGCGAGAATATGCTGGTGAACATATTCCGCCTGATACTGACACACATAGTGAGTATAAATATTGTTTTCCAAATATACCTCAAAACCTAAATACATACAAAAGACAAAACCCATTCCATATTCATGGTACACAATCAGAGTCGACCATATCATGGGCATGTGTTTATGAATCACTACCAAATAGTATGTTCACGACAAGGTGAACATATCCTGCCAATAGCAATATATATCCCACAACAAAACTAGAATGTCCAAACCCACGTACCACTGTGCGTACTTCTTATGTCAGCAAACTTTGTTATTATTCGTTTCCCGTTAAATCTAGCATTGTCGTACCACGTTTATGTACTGTAAGACGCAAGTTAGGGACAATTCCTAAAGCGGTTCAGTTAAAATGTTTGTTTAACGCCCCACTCAATACGCCCCCAGCAATATTCCAGCTATATGACGGCGGACTGTAAATAATCGAGTCTGGACCAGACAATCCAGTGATTGATATCATGATCATCGATTCACGCAATCGGGATATGCTGACATGCTTAACCAAGTCAGAGAGCCTGACCACCCGATCCCGTTACAAGCATAGTCGCCTTTTACAGGCAAACATGGGAGCTAATATTTGTTACATGTGTTGTGCTGAACTGAATATCAAGCATGTTGATGGTTAGGTTTTTAAGTAGTTCAATACTACTGAATAATTATATATTAGACAAATTGCATTAAAATGCTTAGAGACATTAACGTGAGTTATTAGATTGACACCCGCTGCTGGCTTGTTTCCAGCTATTCGAAAAACTAAAAAACCAGTAGCGAATCCACTGCTCCTGAATTAGCTATATTACGCTGAGTCATTCGCCGGTCGGTCATCACCACAACGTGGGTTCTCGGGATCAGTTCTGGTGTTGCTGACTTCACAGGCCTTCGAGGACGGGGGTCGTCTTCAAGGCACTCCCTGTTACACTCAAACTCTGCTGCCTAACTCGTTATGTTGGCAAAGAAGGGACATACTTCCCTAGTGCTGTATTCATATCTTCATGGATGGCTTTTGGCGTTGTTATATAAATCCTTTTTTTCTGCAATTCCACTTGACTGCACATTCCTAAAATTTGTCCATTTTCCAAAGGTCACAGACCTCTGCTTGTTTTGATTACTTTTGCGCAATTCCTTCTATCAGAGTCTCAGATATCAGTCAACCATCGTTGCTGACACATTGCTGAGAGAATATTGTCATTCACTCACTCACTTATTATTCACATGCTATTAATGATGAAGTAACGACTGGTATTATTTCCAATGTTGAAGTGAAATATTAAAGCAGGTACATCGTACATGTTACAGGTTTTTGTGAAATGTTTGTAATATTTCTTGTTATTCAAGTACGAGTGAAGCCTGGCAAACTGGAAAGTGTCCGGACATCTATATTCGCAATGGGCAAAAAGTTAATATTAATATTGCTATCACAGGACATTTAACAAATCCCGATTTGACAAAATAGAGGGGTTGTATGTCGATTATGATAAAGGAAGACAACTATTAAAATATGTTCCTAAATTCCGTGTTTTCACTTGTACCATATGTTACCATGTTTCGCAGATTACCAATTGAATTGCCTTTGCATGTGTTTGTGATGTGTATCACCAGCAGGACAGGCTATGTTCGCCTTTTCGTGGACACCTGATATTTGATAGGGATTAAAAAACACATGCTCATGAACGGTCATAGAGGATCATCCAATATATGTGAATTTTATATGTTGGCAAATGGTGTTTATTGTTGATACATAGATTTACAAAGAAAACAGCATGTACAAAAGCCAAAATCTCTTTAATGTCGATTCAAGGATTCAAGTACTAAACATTGTAAGCGTTAAAAGATATAATGATTAAAAGTGTGTTTATTTCAAATATATTGCTAAATGATGAATTAACCTGTTTGGTTCTGTATTTGAAATATCGTTGTCCTTCTTGCAGTGCTTGAGTCTCAATGTGAAAAGCTGACAAATAATCCAGCGTCAACGAATGCCAGAGCGTTTGCGTATACAATAGTCAATATGTCGACCAGCATAGATGATACGAGATACAGTTTGCATAAAGCAGCCGGCCTCGGTGATATTAGACGCATGCACTTGTTGATAGACCAGGGGGAGGATGTAGCAGGTACCGATGACCGAGGATGGACGCCTTTGCACTGTGCCTGTGAAAACGGTCACGTTGAAGCTGTCTCTGATCTGAGATCCAGGAGGACGGGCGACGTACAAAATAGAGCTCAACTTACATTGTACAATCCTGTCTTGGGTACGGAGTATATGTATCTAGCAGGAACATATCCACTCCACATTGCTTGTTTAAATGGACATGAGAATGTAGCGCACATTTTGATCAATAGCGAGGCAAATGTTGACGACAAAAGTGAAAATGGAACAACAGCTCTTTTTCTTGCTTCTGCTAACGGACATGAAGCTGTAGCCTCACTTCTGATCAAGAGTGGTGCAAGTGTTACAGCTGAGAGAAAGGACGGACGGACGGCACTACATCGAGCTTGTGATAATGGGCATGACTCTGTAGCCGCACTTCTGATCAAGAATGGTGCAAGTGTAACAGCTGAGGACAAGGACGGATGGACGGCACTACATCTAGCTTGTTTGTATGGACATGAATCTGTAGCCGCACTTCTGATCAAGGATGGTGCAAGCATTACAGCTGAGGACAAGGACGGATGGACGGCACTACATCTAGCTTGTTTGTATGGACATGAATCTGTAGCCGCACTTCTGATCAAGAATGGTGCAAGCATTACAACTGTTAATAAGAACAGACGGACGGCATTACATCGAGCTTGTCGGAATGGACATGAATCTGTAGCCGCACTTCTGATCAAGAATGGTGCAAGTGTTACAGCAGAACAGAAGGACGGAAGGACGGCATTACATCTAGCTTGTGACAATGGGCATGAATCTGTAGCCGCACTTCTGATCAAGAATGGTGCAAGCATTACAGCTGTTAATAAGAACAGACGGACGGCATTACATCTAGCTTGTAAGAATGGACATGAATCTGTAGCCGCACTTCTGATCAAGAATGGTGCAAGTGTTACAGCTGAGGAAAAGGACGGATGGACGGCACTATATGTAGCTTGTCACAATGGACATGAATCTGTAGCCGCACTTCTGATCAAGAATGGTGCAAGTGTTACAGCTGAACACAAAGACGGATGGACGGCATTACATCTTGTTTGCCAGAATGGACATGAATCTGTAGCCGCACTTCTGGTCAAGGATGGTGCAAGCGTTACAGCTGAAGACAAAGACGGAAGGACGGCATTACATCTAGCTTCTCAGTACGGACATGAATCTGTAGCCGCACTTCTGATCAAGAATGGTGCAAGTGTTACAGCTGAGGACAAGGACGGATGGACGGCACTACATCTAGCTTGTGACAACGGACATGAATCTGTAGCCGCACTTCTTGTCAAGGGTGGTGCAAGTGTTACAGCAGTAACGACACATGGAGTGACGGTACTACATCAAGCTTGTCAGAATGGACATGAATCTGTAGCCGCACTTCTGATCAAGAATGGTGCAAGTGTTACAGCTGAGGACAAGGACGGATGGACGGCACTACATCTAGCTTGTCAGAATGGGCATGAATCTGTAGCTGCACTTCTGGTCAAGAGAGGTGGAAGTATTACAGCTGAGGACAAGGACGGATGGAATAAAGAGTAAATAATAGCCAACTTTAGTACTACTATTACAGTCTGAAGTACGTGTAACACATGTGGCGTCTCCTTGGGCAAGTGACTTTGTTCGAATTGTGCCTCTTTCCACCCAGCAGTGAGCGGGTACCCGGTAGGATGAGATGGCAATGTGGTTGTTAACCTTCTAGCGGCTTACAGGTACTTTTGATTGTCTACTCTCCATTGAGCTGAGAATGATTTTTGAGTGAAGACTTTTCAATGTCTAAGCTTAGAGTATGCTTGTGCATGGAGAACAGCGCCATACAAATAACGTGGATTTTATGTCCGCTTTCGGGTTTGATTTTTATTTGTTGCAAGAAGGTGATAGGAGTTGCCTACCATGTCAGTTTTCGCAACTGTCCTTGTTTCATGCACAGAGGTTCATATAAAACATGAAACGTTCCCTTAAATACTTGTCTGATTTGTATTACTGTTCAATGCTTTGAATAGTAAAAAGAAATATTCAGAGAATGTTTTTGGTGCCCTTCAGCTAAATTACAAAATGTTATTGAGTTACTTGTGTCTAATACCTGAACATGACCTTCTTTCAGTTATGTTATCAATGTCAAATATTGAGTTATAGATTCAGTGCCCAGGGGACGCAACTCTGAACAGCAAATCGCAGCGCATCCGTGCCCCCCGAGTTATAGATTCATGATTGAAATCATTCTTATAGCGCCCAATAATTGCTTTTATCCTATGAGTCATAACTGGTTTTGTAAAACTCAAACTAAGTGCATACTTTTAGAAAATAAATACCATGTTGAACATTTCTTCTTCTTTTTTGGATATTTTAAATAAAACTTTAAATGTTTATACGATTCTGTTAAATCATTTAATCTTCTGGGGAGAAGAGGTGGCTCTGGGAGTTCGATTCCCCACATTGGTACATTGTGTGAAACTCAAGGCTGGAATACTAAAAATAAGATTGTGTTCTTTAATCTGATTGGTTGAAAAACATGATTTATATCAATTTGTCTGACTGATAACCGAACTTACTTAAATTTAAAATGAATAAGTTACCAAGACCAGAACACGCCAGTAGAGACAATATCCGACCCGTGAAGATCTGGTAGAATTAGGTCTTCAGCAACCAATGCCTGCCATAAATGGCGGCTTTGCTGTCGTAAGACGCGACTAACGGAACGGGTGGTCAGGCTCGCTGAGTTTGTTGATGCATGTCATCGTTTTGTTTGTTATTAAACGCCGCACACAGCAATATTCCAGCTATTTCGCGGCGTGACAGATTAATGTGGGAGGAAAGTCGAAGTGATGCAGGGCTTAGACGTTTACTACTTCGGTGAAACCCATCTAAGCATCGATCCATGCAATCGTGATCGATGATATGCGACAACAACGTCAGCTACCCGATCCCGTTAGTCGATTGTGACAATAGCTAGATATTTTTCACCAGTCTATATATAGCATTAAGTGACTCCTGGTGTGCCATTATTCGTTGATTATTAAATGCATCATGTTGAGGCAAAACTACGTACACGATGTAGGGACAGTTACAGCTTTGTCTTAATAAAACGAACGGTCGATCAAAACGTGATGGTTATAAGTCTTATTAATCAAAACCTTATTGCAATAATTTTTTAATTAGAAGTTTACACGATATACGGCTTTTCCATTGGACGAGAGGTCGGTCACATGACCGCGAAATTGACGTTCATTAGTGTATGAACGACACAGTTTGACGTTCATACCTTTTTCACGAGACCGTGTCCTTGAAATGACGTAAACACTGACGAACTACTTCCACATTCCTGGGGAAACCCCTGGGAATTCCCTAGCTCGAAAACATGCATAACCGTTCTTTCTGATCAATTAGAACCTTTATTTTTGGTCTCAGCGTTTCACTATACATTGAGAAATGTCAGAGAGCGTGACTGCATGATTGTTCACAAATATACTCGCTACGGCCCATCCTAATGAACAAACGAAGAAATGCATATCTAAACTATCGTAGTATCGACTCGATCCGTGATTAGGCTGACATTGTGTCTGTTTGGCGCATCTTTATTCACCTTTCAATGATCGGCCAGTTGATCAATGATGACTAACACATGTAACCGCCACAGGTTCATTAACAACTTAGGAAATCTCTCCCGTCACGTTTATCGCGTCAGCCATTTTGACGTCTGCTACTTAATGTAAATTTATTACGACGCACTGTCATTGTGACTGACTTACTGAGGTAGTTCTTTACAGACCTTTCTCATCTAATGAGGATATGATTTGAACACATGTGCTGCGTAAGATGTTTCTGAAGAGTAAGTTGTGCATCCATACGCCCATGTCACCTCTCTTTTTGAGGAACTATTTTACTCCGCGATATAGCTGGTTGTTGTATGGCTGTCAGTGTAAACATGAAGTCACACGTACTAAATAAAATTGTGTTTAGATCTTGGCCTCCATCCTTTGAGGTAAGAAATTGTGATATTTCTTTTAATAATACAGTTCATACAGTTCATACAGTTTGGCCCTCACTCTATGAAGGTTCATACTCCAATGAACTCACACAAAGTGAAGGTCATTTCTTAATTGAATGCATTGAAATTCATTTCCAAAATATAAACCACATAGTGACCAAGAATTACATCCATCGGGCACTCACATTAAAAAAGGGAAGCCAAATACTTGGGAATAAGTTTTAAAGACCATCTTAATTTCTAGCCATATGTTAAATATCTTAGCAAATGGCTGAAGTAACTTGATTTATCAGGTCGGGGAAAACCCCCAACTGGTGACAATAAACCCAACTGGTGACAATGAACCCAACTGGTGACCATGAACCCAACTGGTGACCATGAACCCAACTGGTGACAATGAACCATGAACCCAACTGGTGACCATGAACCCAACTGAGAATAAACTGGTCCTGTGTGGCTACAAAAACATGCGTTTTTTGTCCGTGCGTTGTCTGTACTACTTGGCGCATGATGGTGGGTATAAAATACATTATGAAAACTTCTTTCATTCATCGATTCTTATAACATTACCCCGTTTGTTGCGCAGGTTATTGTGAACCCGAGTACCTTTTCGCCATTTGGACGGTTCATTCGCGTTACGCCGACTTTCAGAAAAGATTATTCGCGTTACGCGGTTTTTCTTTGATGTGTGCGTGTTATGTTAACACACGAGGTTGTTACAAGCAAGCAATGAATGGTGTTTTTGGATGGTGTTCACGACACATTCTAACAGTAGAAACAACAGATTTATGATGCATTTTGTGTCGTTTATTCCACACATTATATAGTATCAAAAGCAGCGACATGACACATTTCAATTTGGTACAACGAACAGAACATGATTTACATGAATTATAACATTTTTTTAACTTGATTAGAATGGCTGATGGAACATCGGCAGAGTGGATGATGTCGATTTCTTGCCTCTCCAGCCTCATCTTCAAATTGGCGATGTTGCGGTCGACTTCTGAGTATTTCTTCTTCTTGGGAGGTCTCTTCTGTACTGCTTCGTACTGCGCTCTGAATGTCCGTTGACTTCTGCTCTTTGGAAAGGAAGGTAATCATCTCGAAAATGTTTTGATGTGCCTTTCACGTGATCTTCGGTCGACTGTGCCATCCCTCCAGGTAGTTGTTTGTGCGTGGCCGATCATTGTTGAAGTGGTTCCAATGATTGATGTGGAGATCGCTCTCGATCCACTTGCTGGTCATGTAGTCTGCAAGTCTTTGACATCTTTGATCGTCTGGAACGCGCTCCATTAGCTCAAGGAAGTAGTCTTCAACCTTAAGATAAAAAAGTAAACCTGTCAGTTTTACACATTAACATGCATATTGAATATATTACACATTAACATGTATATTACGTATATCAAGTTAATAGAGTCTAATCTAACGGTCTGGTTACTACTTACATTGCCAACAGGAATGAGTGGCATTATTGCACACTGCTTGACGAACTTTGTAATCTCTGGTCTGTCAGTATAGTCTTTCTGCATGTTGCACTGTTGGGTCTTCCGCCATACACACTGGGCAAAGTGGAAGAAGCATCCCTTTCATGTGGCACGAGGTAACCGCGATGTGGCAGCATTCCTGGCAGCGACTTCGAAGTCCATCTGATAAAAAAAATTGAAATTTATTATGATTTTTAAAGTTAAAATCACACGCGCTCATCCCATCGTTCTTTTAATCCTCAGTTAGCAACCAAACTGCAACTATTCGCGTTTTGTCGACCTTAATTTTGACCCCAAATGTCTAAAGGTCGGCGTAACGCGAAGACACCATTTGGACACATTCTGTGCTTTAAATCAGTCAAAAACAATACATTGAAAGTCAAAAATTACCTGAAATGTACTTTGTCAACCACTCTCTCCGTCCACCATGCTTCCTACTCTGACCCGCCACCTGCAGTCCAGGCAGTCAGGTAACGCTCAAATCTGGCCTTCGGGTCAGTGATGAATGGTCACATTTTGAAATAGTTCGCGCTGCATTGCTTAAAGTGGCAATATGTGTAGGCAATTCATAGTCTTTGTGCTATATCATAATGTTTTTACGGACACTTAACTGTTGAATATACATGTGTATGTATTACCAATAAATTCCGTTGTCATTTATGAAAAGAAGTGTAAAATATTGTTATGTTGGTAAGATTTGTTTCAGGATGTTAAAGTTACAAAACCCACAAAGAGGAAGCAATGGCAGAACTCAACCCCCCCCCCCCCCCCCCCCCCCGCCCAAAAAAAAAAGAAGAAGAAGAAAGACAATGTTGGTAATGTCCAGCATACAACCCTTTTTTCGGATCCTGTAAAGATTACAGACCTTAACGAAGGCCCTCCTCCTCCTCCTCCTCCTCCTCCTCCATATTATGGTCAATTTTCGTAAGGAAGTGGATCACATCGGTACTCTGTAAATGAAGGTTCTATATAATGATTTGATTTCATGGGTTTTCAAAGAGCATATATCATAGTACATAACTACAAATATTGAATTTGAAAAAAATATTTTACTGAATATTGCCACATTTTAATACGTCTGTATAACCCTTAAAACAAACCGGAATGCATTTAAGTTTCTCCTGAATGATTTCCACCAATTGTGTTATTGTCATTTTGGTGGGCTTTTCTGACTCTTTGCGATCTTCTGGCGTCATGAAGAGTTTCTTCACTGTGGGTCTTCTACCCTTTTTCTAGAAGATTCTTCTTAATAATTAATTCTCTGAAATAATTTCTGAAATAAATGTAACTATTTTCCTAACAAAACAAATAAATCTGGGTGTGTGTGCGTGCGTGCGTGCGTGCGTGCGTGCGTGCGTGCGTGCGTGCGTCAGAGTCAGAGAGAGAGAATAGCGTCGTGCCACTGCAATACATCTGGATCTAACACGTGATTTTGTCCAGGCCTGTCAGGCGGGGTGTGTAAGGGCTTGCCTCTAAATGCTTGCTTTTTCTAAGCCAAGATATCCACCCTGCTATCTCCGGCGACAGGGAATTGTCAGTAGCTCATCACGAACTGGCATCAGTATGTTGGTTTTCATCTGTTATACAAAATTATTGATTATAGAAGCCTACTTGGAGATCAGAGGATCTGATGCAAGTGAAGCCCATCAGATGGCTACACCGGGGTATCAATGAGTCCCAAAGGTATTTCATATGTTGTGATATACTATAAATTTTACCAACTTGTTATCAGTTTAAAACACATTATGTAGGTTAAATGAACCGCAAATATGCATATATTAATGTTTTCATTTTCTTCCAGCTTAACAAACGCGTTCCAATTTACAATGAAACGATTCATTTAATGAAACC